AGCGGTTCGGGGGATTAACCGTGTGCTTGGCGAGGTAGTTAGCCAGCTCGTTCTGTTTTACAACAAGGGCAAAGAAGCTGGGAGCTGTGTTGAAACTTACCAGGCCGCTGCCATGCAGGCTGCTCTGCCCAGGCAGGTACTGTTATCAGGAGCCTGCACGGACGGCAAGATAGGCACAGGGTATTCAAATGCAGTCGCTTTATGAGAGGAACTCTTTAATTACAGTATTGCTAACTCATTCCAAACTTCTGAGTATCCTCAAGAAGTTTAATATATATTTTCCATCATGAATTCTAGTATTCAGTGTGTTAATTTATGAACTGCCCTGGCCGTCACACCGTATTTGATCCCTGGTCATGTATGGAATTTTACTGGCATGCCTGCTAATAATTCATCTTTTCTGTTTAGATTCTGAATCAGTTACACTACCATAAGCCTGCCCGTTTTCCTAGTTCTCTAATTCTTTTGGTCTCCTAGATTCTACAGAGCTGATTGCTGCTGCACCCTCAGTTATGTGTGTGCATAAGCCATTGCTTAGAGAATCTTGCAGCACGAGTGGTGGTTCTGTTCCCTCTCAAGAGGTTTTCAGGGACAATGGAGAGAATACATAACAGAGGGACTGTTTTTCGTGTTGGCTTTTTGTCTCTAGAAGAGGCCTACGTACTTCTGTAGCAGCCTCTATTGTCTCTTTTGAGCTTCTCCAGAAGAGAAGTAGGGTGAGGAAGAAAAGGCAGTGTAAAACTAGGGATATAAGAATATTAGATGATTATGGCTCTGTGGCTGTTTATAAATGGATTCCTGTGAAAGTATTTAAGAACAAAGAAGGTATAATTACTTTCACCTAATAATATTATTCTGGTTTCCAGTTATGTTTATCTACAGGGACTTAAGGATTTGCATATCACTTCTGTGCATTTAGGACCCCTCAAAGTATTTTTCTTATTTGTACTAGTGCAGCCTCCCCCTAAAATCACATCTTCATATGAACAACGTTCTTTGGCAGCAAGCTACACGGAGTTGCTCTGTTGCATAGACAATCAATTCCTGTGCTATATTTTGTATCTAACTACTAGTTTTGTTTTGTGTCCCATTGCTCTTCAACTGGAATAGGCTGTTTAGCCATTCTCTCTGTTCATCGTGATTTTTCTGTATTTGATTCTCTTTTTCCCCTAAATCATTTACTTTGTAGACTGATGAAGTCTTAAGCTACAAGATCATTCTTCATGCTTTGAATCAGCCTTGTTAGTCTTTCACAGGCTGTATTTAAGTTGTGGCCAAGTCCTGCATTTATGAAGTGGCATAATAAAATTAGCCATTTTATTTTCTGTTTCCCAGCAATTTCTAATTTCTTTGTTATGATTGCTACTCAGTATTGAGCTGATGTTCTCGTAGAATTCTACTATACTGCAAGGTTTCACTTGAGAAGTGAGGCTTACCTCTCACCTAGACTGGATTTTTGTACTTGCCCATTTAAAGGTCTAGTCTAATAGTTACGCCTTTGTGGATAGGTCTGTGTTGAGCATGAGGGAAGCTTATCAGCACAGTTTAGTTGCTGTGTGTGGTTTCTTGGGTTTAGAGTAAAATCCACTGGGATAGGAAGAGTGGTCATAGCTGGAAAGGTTCTGAACTTTAAACTTAGTTTTCCTGCATCTCAGATGGGTGCTCAAACTTCAGACGCTTGGTAGGATCTAGATCTTGTATTTTTTGGTGTTTCAGTTACTTCTGAGGGTTTTTTGTTCTAGTGAGTCTGTATGAATCCTGTTTGTTTCAGATTAATAAGAGACAAAGGCAGATTCTGTTCTAAAATGGTGTTCTTATGATTATCAAAGACTGTGCAAGTAGTACATATACTGTGATACAAAGGAAATATTTGTCAAACTGAGAGAGGTAATTGATGATGTATAGCAACTGAGATTAAGGCCATTTTAGGATATGATTTTAAAAAGAGACCTCTAAGGGCTATACATCCTATTATTATTGTCTTGGGTTTTGACATATTTAATTTATAGCTGTTTTTTACAAGTCCTGTATTGCATGGAAGATTGACTTGTCCATTTCCATAATTTAGGAGTTTTTATTTTTTAAAAAAAGAAAATAAACACAGTCCTGTTTAAATTCACTTTTCTTTTTGCAGCAGATGGCATGCAAGCAAAAGCAGAAAAGATAAGATCTTCTCTGAAGAATGCAAAGAAAGATACAGGAAACCCAGAGAAACTGAAGTATAAACCACTCACTGGGAAGGTGTTTTACCTCGATATTCCATCCAATGTGATCTCTGAAAAAACAGGAAAGGACCTCAGAGAGCTAGGAGGGGTAGGTTAATGAGAAGAGACCTTTATGAAACTAAAATAAAATCTGTGCAGGTGGAATGTCTTTCCCATATTCTTTATGACTACATTTGGACATTACTCATATTTTATATGCAGCAGAATTTTATGTTCTACTTTTGTTCTAATGTTTAATACTAATGATTAGCTTATCAACAACATATTTTGTGGGTTTTTGCTAGAAGCTGCTTTGCTAATATAACAAAAGTGTGTATTATAAAGGTTTATTTTCAGGTGATTATTCATTTACTTAACATTTTATCCAAATTTAATAAGTTTCATTGTTTGAGGTGACTTTTTTTCCTGCTGCTTCTGACTATACTGACGTGTTTGTATGTTACAACTGAAGTTGTTCAGCTGAACCTGAAAGAGATTAGAGGAAGTGTTTTTGCATAATGCTTGCTAAAAGTCAGTAACTTCATTAAGTACTTTCTGCACAGAATATGTTAATTAGTGTTTTAAAATACTTTTATTTAAATAATACATTTTATAAGCATCTTGATACTTTTTTATTGATTCTATCTTCTGTATTGTAGAAGCACTTTGATACAAAGTAGTAGTAGTAACAAAGTGTGTAGTAACACACAAGCAGTGCAGTTGCTTGTTACACTAAAGTTTAGTTAACATAGAAGGATCTTGGCAGTTAAGATATTAAACACCCTTTAAGCAAAAGGGATCTGTTTAAATTGCTAGCTATTCTGAACATTGCTTTGGCAATACTTCGATGTCAGAGGAGCGCTGAGCAGTTTCATGAAGTCGATGTGTGTAAATCAAGATGCTTTGTGAAATTGTCGTAGAGGCAAGGAATAGCAATAAGGTGGCTTCAAGTTAAACGTATCCCTTTCCATTTAGCATTAAATGAGCGCATGCAATCTTTTGTATTTCCCTCTAAAACAGAGTTTTAGGAATTCATATGTGAAAATTAAGGTTGCAAATCAAAGACTGAGAAGTAAGTTTTTTTGTTTAATTCTGAAGAGTGTGTGCCTGAATTTAAGATGCCCGGCCACCTCAAGATCAACTACTACATGTGTTTTGTTATTACATGTGTGGAATGCACTCAGAAGGGCTTCTTTCTGTGTGTACCCTTTCTGTAAAAGGTACATAGAGCAGAATCGGAAGGCACGGTTTCAAGCTTACTTCCTGTGTGATATGTGCTTTCCACACTGGTTAATGAAGAAGAAAATGTTTTAAGCTATGTAAACTGGCAAGAAGTAACAAGGCGATTAGAGCTGATAATCACACAACAGTTGGTAACAGGACACCAAAGGAACAAAAGGGAAGAGAATAAGCATAGGATAACTGCATATGTTGTCTTGCTGAATATGAAAATACTATGCATCTACTTAAGTCTTCTACTTTTTTGAGAAGTGTTATAAATCCTGTAGGTGTGAAACATAGTAACTATCTTGGAATTTCACTTTTTCTGCGGGTTCTAAACTTGCAAACTGTAAATTATTTCCATGCACATGCCTTTGACACTTCTGTTATGTAATTTCTGTTATATAAAATGCTATAAACAGCGATTTTATTTTATTTTTTACCCCATAGTTATTCTCTTATTTCTTAATGTGGTGTTTGAATTCCTCTATTTGGAAAATATTACAGTTGGATAATAATAATTGAGAGAAAGCAAATGTCTTTAATAGAGATTATAAAATTAAGAAATTCAAATTAGAATTTGTGACTGGTAGGATGCTGCTACAGTTCATTTGTAATTGTCATCTAGATATTTAGAAAATATCAACTTGTTAATTCAGTGGTTTTGAACTTAATTAGAAGTTTTGTCACTTTTCTTGAAAATATGCAATATAAAATTGAGTTACTGATTTATTGTCCTGAAATAATTCCTTGTTTTATATCTTTATATTTAGCGAGTGGAGAGTTTTCTTAGTAAGGATATCAGCTATCTGGTGTCTAGTAAAAAGGAGGCAAAATTTGCACCAAGTCTTGGTCAGATTTCTCCTGTTCCTAGCCCAGAATCTGCATGTCATGGAGGAAATAGTTCACCTCATCCTAGCAACCGACAAGATCGACATGATGGAAGTTCATTTAAGACAGTGGATACAGTAAGTTTCTTAGTAATAATGCTGCATATCCTGTACAACTCTTGGGATATGCTCTTAAAATTTTTCTCCTATTTTGTTTCCTTAAGATGGCAATGGTTCCTAGGGTGAAGAGGATGTGTGTGTGGTTTTGGTTTTTTTAACAAGTCAAACATACTTTTAAACTAGTTGGCTAACTTGTTAGATTTAATTAGTTCAAACTAATTAAGCAAAATTTAAAAAAATAATTAAAAAAGGAGCCTTCTCTGCAAATAAGCAGACTACACTAAATCGTGTTCTGATTTAGTATGCCAAACTTACAATTAAACACTGACACTATGTTTGACAGCTGGATCAATGTGGGTAGGCTTGCAACGGCGTCCAGTGGTTCCTGTCTTTTTAGCAATGCAGCCTATTAATGCCTGCCTGCTGTGATGTTGTTAATGCAGCTATCTACAGAAGCATTCTTTGATAGTAGTTCAAGGAAATTATTAAAATTGAACATTATGGATATGAAGCTTTTCTGAGGTCTTTCTCAGAGGACCATTTTAATTGCAACAGTATCTGAATTTTTGCAGGTTTATGTCAAGTTTCTTACTTGGGCAAGTCTTATGTCCTTTCAAAATACAGTTGGGAACAATCAGCTGTATGATATAAATGGTACTTATTTAGAACCATTGCTGCTAGCAAGTCTGTGGGCTAGTCTTTGCATTGTATTTTGCAAATAACTTGAGTAGGTAAAGATGTGCTCATTAACAGCATAAAGTACAAAAGGAGATGCACTGGTGATAGAAAAGATGGGGATAAGAGAGAGGCTATGATTATATTCATGCCTGTTATCTTTATTTGGCACAAATCCAGCTGATGAAACCTCATTTTTGGCATGTGTCACTGGCTACTGATTCCAACCACCTATGTTGTTTCAGCATTAACATTGCTTCTGCTGTCCAGTGACTTGCTTTGACTGAAAATGAGTATTACTTGGGGTTATTTTGGTTTTTTGTTTGTTTGTTTTCCCCACCTGTACTGTATCAATCCTAACCTTGTGGGAAAGATGCAAATTAATGAAAAATAGCAGTGCAGTAAACAAAAGGAGACTATCATAGCTAAAATAAGTTGTTAGAAACAAAGTAAATTTGGTAGCAACAATGTAAATTCTTATGGGTTTTCTGGTTTGGGTGGATTTTTTTTAAATAAGTTTAACTTGCTACACATGGGTTTGTTTTAATATAGGTTCGTATAAGCAGAGGAAAATCCTTAGCTGAAAAAGCAATCAAAGAGCAGGTAAGCCAACTAATCAACAAATTCATGCTTGATAAACTTTGCATTTGCTCATCTAGAAAACAAGCAGTAGTAAGAGCAGTCTTAGTGGTCTAAGAAAGAATCCCATTGTGGAACACTTGGTTAGAAGTTGAGGGATTGTCCCAAGTAAAACTGTCAGGTCGTGCTTTCTGGGTACTTCCTGAAGAATTGAAAGTCTGTGGAGTACTATAACTTCTTAGGATTGCCAATACAGCTTGTATTTGAGAGATGGTCATGAATTTAAAGTTAATGTATAAATTCGGCCTTCAAATCTGAGTTGCTGTGAAATATGACCAACAGGGAACGGGTTTGGCTTTACAAAAGGCTACATATAATCTTTTGATGGTGAAGTGCCATGACACTGAGATGGAAAAGTCAGTGAAGGAGAAGTGATAGTCATGGCAAGAAGCAAGCATCTCCTCTTTGATCTCAGCTTTCGTGTTACATGTTGTAATGTATTTGTAATTATTTTACCTGCCATATATTGCTTAAAATTGATCAAATGTATTGTTTGCAGGACTTAATCCCCTCTGGTAGTATACTATCCAATGCTTTGAGTTGGGGAGTGAAGATACTTCATATTGATGGTAAATATTTTATGTGATGAAGCCTAGCTTGGACTTGTAATTTTAATTTCTTCTTTTGTTGAATTCAAAATATACTCAGCTGAGTTTACTTTTGTATGCTTAATAATTCTCCCTCTTTTTGCCAGATGTAAAGAATTACATTGAACAAAAGAAAAAAGAACTCTACCTACTCAGAAAAGCTGGCAGTTCTTTTAAAGATGTGGTAAGTGGCTCTGCCATTTGCGAAAATGACATAGTACTAAATACTACTTACTGTGAAGTTTAAAAGATTTTATTTTAGTACATATTCAGTTTTTGTAGACTGGTATGTTTTATGAATTGATTTTAGAACATCTTTGAAAAATAGAAAGTATTAGCTATACACTTCAGCATTATTAAAAAATAAATTCTATAGTAGTGTTAATTAAATAATGTGTGCATATTTTATCTAAGAATCAGAAGTAGTGATCTCTCTGAAATTTCCATTCTGCTTGCTTCAAAAATAATGCATAGTTTTAAAAAAAAGTAGCTTGTGTCAAGGGTTAGGGATGAGGCATCCAGTAAATAAATGATGAATGCTGTCTAGTAAACCCTTTCCCCCCCTTTGGGGGAATAAGGCAGAGAGACTTATGGATTGGAAAACTGAAACAACACTAATAATAGTACTAAGAAGGAAACGATGTGAGTAATGAAATACATGCAAATATATAGAAACTTGATATCGAACCCAACCACCCCTCACCCCTGATAGCAGTCGCCACTGATGCTGCAGAGCAGGCAGGCAGGCACTGGGAAGTCCCAGGCTGAGCAGCAAAGGGGAAATGGGTACAGCAGCTGGATCTGGGAACTCGCAGATCAGATCAGAATCAAGGGCAGAGCAGATGGTCCTGCTCAGTTGCTGGCCATTGAAGAAGAGGGCTTGAGCCCTGTGATCCCTCGGCTTTATACTGAATGCGGCGTTCACGGAATAGAATGCTTTGTTTGGGTAACCTGTCCTGTCCGTTCCTCCCTGGAGGTGTGACTTTTTACTTCCAAAAGTGCTGTCTCTTAGAAGAGACTGTGCTGAAAAGTAAAAATCGCTGAACAGAATTGGTTCTCGTTTAGCTCAAACCAGGACAGCTTGGTTTTAATATGATGCCGGCTGTGGCCAAATTGCCTTGTACCATTTTAAAGAATCACAGTTATGTTTCCTGAAGAAGCTGTCTCTAGGGAACCTGTGTCAGTTAGTCAACTCTACATCTTTTCCTTCCTATTTTTTAAAGAAAGAACGTAAAGCTCCTTTGAGCTATTCTGACAATAATATACAACTTTCAGGTGAAAAATCCAAATTTCTCCAGATTTTAGTGTATGTATGATATAGTGAGACATTTAAAGTGTACATTTTGTTGTTTCGGAGTGCAATATTAGGTAATTGTTGAGGCCACATGAAATCATCTGCTAAATTATCGGTGTATCAGCTAAATTTTGAGGTAAAATTCAGAATACTTTCACAGTAATACTTTCTTTTTTTCATCAGGCAAAACAAGTTACTGGTCAAAAGTCAAGAAGTAAGTATTCTGATATTTGTAGACGGTTTTATTTTGCCATATTTTCTGAATGCTTAAAAATGTACTACGGTTCTCACCTTGTCAAGTGTGGCATAGTATTCTATTTTGTGTGTCTAAGAAAAGCATGTAGAAAAACTTCGTGGAAATCAAGGTTGTGTCGAAACATGTAGAGTGTGTTCTAAAGTGATGTCTGCTTATTTATTGAGCTACTGGAGTAACTTGCTGAATAAAGAAAAGTATTTCTCTCTTAATTTCCTCTTCTCCCTCCTTGAGCAGGTAGACTGAAAAATCCATTTCTTAAAGTGGAAGATAAAAGTCGGTAAGTGTTCTCTTCATGCACATGTGGTTCTCAAATGGAGTAATTTTGAAACCTGTAGCATGCCTTGAGCCCTTCAGATTTCAATTTCCTTTGACTCCTGACTTAGTTGCCAGGCATACTGTCCTCCATAAAAAATACAAAATTGTCATCTGTGTTTAGTCACTGAATGTGATTGAATGAGTAGTAGTATAGTAGGGAATGTTTGCAATAGATGATGGAAGTGGGAAGTTAATATATAGCTCCAGTTTGTAGATGGTGAGAGAGGGTTCTTTAGGTTACTTTCTGCCAAAGGCCTTATGAATAAAAAGGAAACCTGGAAGCTTTGAACTTTGACATCTTTATTTAAATGCAAATCCTGTAGCCCAGAAGGCCAATAAAACTTTGTATGCTAAACTCCAGTTCCATAGTCCCAACTCAGTGATACTCATCTCCTGCAGGGACTGTTCAGATGTGAGGAAAGGGAAGTTGTTATAGTTAAAATCATGCCTTGAAATTGAATTTAATTTCCTGTTCAATCCTTTTCTTTTTAAAATGAAAATACCCAACTATTAATCTGATTTCAACATCCACAGTGGGGAAGAAACTCAGACTTAATTCTGGCATCGGCTTTTCAGTGAAGTGATTCAGTATGTGAACTTTTGGCATGCTGTATTTTTAATATATTTGAAGCATGGGTACAGTTGCTGGTTCTGGTATCTCTCCAGGTACGGTGGTGAGCAGGAAAATTGCCTTTCTGGAAAATGAAGAGGTCAATTTTTATATCGAATGGTGAATTGATTAAAATTTATCAAAAAGGCAGAAAATGGTAAAATTTAAAAAAAAGCATTGGACATGAGGAACTGCTATAGCTGTCTCTCACACAGATGCACCATTATCCAAATTGTTCTTACTTTTATTGGTTACCAAATTCAACAATCAATAGGCACGAAAGCCATATCCCAGGGAACATGCAGGACAGCTGTGGGAACTCAAGGCAAATCTATTTTGAGGAAGTATCAAGTTGGAAGGAAGGAATGATTTATTCTGGGGTATTTATCTGCTTAGCATTCTGTATATGTCATATGTGAAAGAGAAATGCATTTCAGGATTTTTGGCCTGATTGTAATTTGTGCTACAAACACCTTTCTCTATTTCTCATGTCTCTTAATGCACTTGTTTTGTCTAATACAGCCAGTACCGACCATTTTATCTGCAGTTACCCAGTTTTCCATTTCTGAACTACTGTGTCCCAAAACCCTATAGTCCATTTGAGGTGGATAAGAAGCATCCTTCTGGTCAAAAGCAAACTCAGTCTAAGCAAAGGTTTGTTGAAAACTTGTTAGTGAGCTGTGGATAGTGGAGAGGGAGATTCTCTAAAATAACTATATTAATTATTCTCTAAAATAATTGCTCTACTTCTAATTTTGTGTGATATTTAATACTAATAGCCACGTCTCTGCTGATTTATTTACTGCATTGTAACTGTTGGTGTCTATCTTTCTGTACCCTCTTTATCCTGTCTTTAGTCCCTTTCTTGGGCATACAGATGCATAGATCCAAAAAAGCAGCCTTCTATCACTGTGGGTCAGCATAAGATATATTTTTTTCCTTTCTGCCACTCGTTTCTTCCTTGTTCTCATCTTGGATGCCATCCAGTAAGTATTTTACAGGAAGTGGATTTCTTAAGGCTTCTTCTGCTATTTGTCAGTATAATGTTAAAGGAGCCAGTTAAAATCTTTGCTATTCGTAGTGCAAAATTGTTGCTGTTAAAGAGCGCATGTTGTTGATGAAGTCTAATTTATAGTCATTAGACTCTGCAAATAGTACTTCAGCTCTTCAGAGATGAGAAGTGGATGCCAGCTGCCCAAGTGGAATTGCATTTGGTCTTGCAGCAAGTGTTTATATGATATATTTTGTTGTTTAGGCTCTCTTAGAACACTCCAGATGCAGTTAGAACTTCTGGTAAATAAATTTCATGGTTTCAAACTACTTAGGAGTCTTAATTATATAGGTTTTGGTGAATCAAACTATCGTTTTGAATTTCTTAGCACACTGGAGCATTAATGCTCATTTCATTAACTTTTAAAATGGATTCACATGAGACACCAAAGATCTTTAGATGAAATGGAGGTTTGCTTTATGTCAAAGTTTCCTCTCTACTGCTGTTTTTCTGTCCCTGCGTTCTAAGACTTAATTTAGGTGTGATGCTTGTTTTCTTTATAAAATAACTCTCCACTCTTCAGTTTCTATACAGTCTTCACTATTATTATAGTGCTGGAAGCTGTCAGCCAATGTTGCCATGATTATTTTTTTTTATTTTACATTATAATACATGTAATAGCGTGAAAAAGCAAAACAACTATAACACAGCAGTAACCCTTGCAATAATAAGGCAGTTTCTGAAGGTGTGTCTTCAGAGGGGATTAGAAAGGCCCATTCTTTTTAAAGGATTTTTTTTAAAAAAAAAAAAGGAAGAAAGGCAATAATTTCATTTTTATGGATTAAGGAGTACGATATATTAAGAATATCAGGAGTTACGTTTGAATGAATATTCCTATTTATCTTTTGTGTTGGCACACGCCAAAGAGATCATTTTTACCTGCTGAGTATGAAATAAAGAATGTCAGTTTTGGGAGAGAAAGGGGAGTATTCCTACCTTTATCTGTATTTGGGAGAAAAGCTTGTTGAAGCGGTCAGTTCTGCTTGCTTCTGCGTTGGGCAAGACCTGCAAACATTATTCAGTCTTCAGACAGTAAATTCTCTTTCTTATAGCCTGCTTTAGTGTTCTCTGATTTTTATGGTTCTGAAGAGGGAGGGTGAAAAAGCTGGTGTAATAGTAAAAGTGTACACAGTGAGGCAGAGCCTGTCGTGTGGAATCCAACAGATGCTGGGGCAGGTGTTTACCAATTTAGACTTGTTGGTTGAAAGCAGTGTGCCTTTGTTATGCTGAATACTACTATGCTTTGTATGTTAGAGATTTTTCAGAACAGGATTTTTGGTGATAAAGACATGAGTTTCCATGAAGAAGATACTTGGTAGTCTGTCAGAATGATTTTTGGCTAGACAGGGAGGTGGCGCTATCCCTCTGGAGTAAAAGGGGAGTAGAGCTCAGTGGTAGCAAGTGTATCATCTTGAGGCGGTTTAATAGTGAATTGCCTCAAACTAACTCTCCCCAGATGAGGACACTGAAGGTCATGGAGCAGCTGTTGGAAATCTCTTCATGTTTTAACCTCCAGGAAGAACTTGAGGTTAATTTCCTCATATTTCCACTTAGCCTGTAGCTAGAAAAACAGGGGGAAATGGCATTTGGTCAGTGTATTCAAAACCTGCGTATAACTAGCAAATATCACCGTTCTTTACTTTTGCCAGAGAGTGAGAGGTCATCTCTTAGACCAGGGGTTTTTGCTGCATGTTTTGTTGGCATCAGAAACGCTGACAGTTGACAGAAGATTTTTTTCTTTTTTCTAGTTATGATTTTATCAAACCTCCTTTTACCAGCTGTGCATAGAGATTCCAATGTATCTTTCAACTTGTCAAGTGAAACTTTTTGTTCAGCAAGTTTGCATTGTTTATTCTGAGTCACTGATAGTATGTCTGTACTAACCTGGATGTTTTATGCTTACATATATATCCACTAGGTCTGCCTATCTTCTATCAGAAAATATTTTTTAATTGATATGTAATTTTTCTTTATTTTTCTTAAACATTGACTAACATAATGTAAATAGTTCAAGGGGAAAATAAAGGGGTTTTTTTTAGTGAATATGACTGAACATACTGTGAGAGTCAAGTATAGTGCTCAGATCCATATTTGAGACTCCTTAATATATCTTTTCTGTTAACAGAAACAAAATAAATAGTGACAAGGACTGTGGAACTCCTGTTCAGCTCCCTCAGAAGGACAAAAAAAAGAGAGGATATTGTGAATGTTGCGGGAAGAAATATGAAGATCTTCAAACAGTATGTGAATTGTCAAGTATATGCTTTGATACAGTCATAATTCTTAAGCGTGATATGGCTTCTACTTGTTTCTGAATACATCTTCTAAAAAGCAGCAAGTGGGTATTTTTTCCCTTGTAGGTTTTGATTCTTGATTCCTGCTTCTATGTATGCTAGCTGAAGGGACTAGTAGTTCCTATCTCCAGTTTTCTCAGTGGGTTGAGTGCAGTGCTGAGAGCACTGAGGTCCCGAGTTCTATTCCCGTTCAGTCCGCATGTGTTGCCTAATCTAGTCGAGAGGTGGCGTCCCTGGCCTATGACAGGAAGGTTGGATTAAAATGATCTCAGAGGTCCCTTCCAGCCAAGGCCGTTCTATGATTCTATGACACTGGTAATAAATTAATGCTATTTACTGTCTGCTCCATATCATACTGTTGACTTGTATATTCTTATCTGTAGTATTAATTTATTTCTTTGGGTTTTTTTAAAATTCTAGCATCTTGAAAGTGAACAGCACCAAAATTTTGCACAAAGCACACAGTATCAAGTTGTTGATGATATAATCTCGAAGTTTGTTTATGAGTTTGTCGAATACAAAGATGATGTAAAAATAATAAAAAGGTAAGTTATGTTTTAAATTTTAAAGACTGAGTTAAGACATTGAGCACAAAGATACTTGGTGCTGACATTCTGGATCCTGTATGGAATAAGTTTGTATTTTTCAGTCTAAAATAAGTCATTGCAACTTGCAATGCAGTTGTAACTATCAAATCAGCTCTATAAAGGAGAAATAAGGAAAGAAAAAAATTAAAAGTGCAGATGGCATCACAGGAAAATGAAACCGAAAGGAATTGCCAGAAGTTGTCCTACCTATCCTTCAGCTTCAGAAAAGCAAAATCTACTGTGCTAAAATATTGCTGACAGGAGGACAACAATGACTTGCTCTAAAATCTTACTGTCAGTAGCATAAGAACAGCAAATGGTATCCTCAGTCAGTCTGATCTCCTTACCAGTGGAAAGACTTCTACTAGATTAATCTAGATCTTGCTATCTATACCCTAAGCTTCTTAACTTCTGTCCTGCTTGTGCTGGAAATAGCAGATTTTGCTTTCTTCTTCGTAGCTCAAAAGCTCAGCTGGGCAAGAACTTGTTTTATGTCTCGCACTGTAGGCAACAGTTTCTTTGATACTTGGAACAGTAACTCAGTTCAAGATTTGTCTTGAGTTTTTGCACATGTGTTGGGAGATAAGGAATAACTTGCTTATTTACTTGGGGGGAAGTATTAAAGAAGTAAAGATTTTCTTAGTGAAATCAAAGAAAATGCAAATAGAACCAAACAACTAATGGCCTAATGAACACAAGCCTCTCTTCCTTTTGTGATTTAAAAATGCTTACCAGGGTTGAGTTTGAAATACTATGTCACAAAAATCATATTATTATGCAAATTTTGCGTGTATGTATATCATAGAATATTTGTAAGTATTTATAGGCATTGCATTATATTCATTAACTTATGTTCTTAATAGCACTGCGAATTGAGATTTAATGAAATACTAGGCTACTTTGTGTATTTTTAAAATAACTTTGAATTGTAGAAATCAACGAGCAAACATCAAATGCGAATATAAGGCACTCTGCTCCTGTAGAAAGTGTATTGTTACCCTAAACATATATGTCTTTTAAAAGGAGAGGCAAGCTTTGCAGTTGGTCGCTTTTCTAGAATCAGTTGCAATACAAAGTTATGTTACCCATGGTTTGTTTCAAGCTCTTGTTAATAATTTTAAACAATTCCATTGCAGGACAAAATGTAGTACGGGATATTTTTCTCCTATTATTGGGAAGATAACTAGACCAGATGAGCTGAAAGAACGGCTGAAAAAGCAACGCATTTCACTGAAAAGTTACTCATGGAAGGATACAGCAATGCGGGCACTCAAACTGGATCGCCAGCCTGCAGAATTAGAACCAAATTCTGTGCCAATACCTACCCCTTTTTCTGGATCTGTCTATTCAGTTCTTCGTCACCTGTCACAACCTTCAGAACTAAAAAGTTGGTTCAGGAATAATGCTGAAGATATTAGAACTGATTGCTCTTGTGCCTCAAACATAAAAGAGACTGTTGTGTCATCAAATTTCATACAACCGCCCCCTCAGGAAGGTGACAAAGCATACATGAAGAACATGCCTCCAGCTTTTGAGCCATTCAGTAAAGAAATACCGGAACCAGAAGTAAATAAAAAGAATTTACAGTATGTACAGAAAGGCATATGTACTTTGTATTCTTACACTGAAGTCGAAGACAAAAACCTATTGCAGCTAAAAAGAAAACTAAATAATGCAGTAGTTCTGCCTGCAAAATGTTTGAAAAAAACAGATGCCAATCCTACATTTGTCAACAAACATGGTGACTTACATGATAATCATCAACAGATGCAGCACAATGTAGTTCTGGAGGCTGAGGTATCCAATTCTGCTATAAACAAAGAACTTAATGAATCGGCTGCCAGCACTGCACATAGTTCACCGTCTGGAAAACTGCACAGAAAAGTGAAACTTTACTTGGGAAGAAATAAAAGAGAAACGCGGAAACAGAATATGGAGTTATGCGTAAAGTATACAGGTGAACTGTCTGTTCCTGAAGAGAAGAGAAGTTCTTGTAGCTCACCAGTACAAGCCCTACTGGACTTATTTCAGACAAGTGAAAGAAACTCAGAATTTGGAGGCTTTTCAGGTTATACGGAGAGCAAAGGTTCAACCAGCATAAAAGATATATGGGAAGGGCAGAACAGAAATGTTATGTGGTCATTGTTTTCCTCCTCATCCTCATCCCCATTTGTTGGATTTTGATGCTGCTTTATTTAATATAATGGTCTTCCAATGAAGTTGCAAATTTAGGATTTTATTCATGGAGATTTTAATTGCTGTATTATATGTACAAATGGTTTGTTTTTCAGGTTTTTTAGTGGAAGAACTTCTGTATATGTAAATACAGAAAATAAAACTAAAATGTTTTGGGCTTATTTTTTTTCCTTAGCACAGCTAGTAAAAGGCTTGGACCCCAGATTTTAATAACTATGATATAACCAATAAGCTTGGGGCTAAGTGGCTGGAAAGCCAGCAGAAAAGGAGGTGGGGCTATTGCTAAGCAGCCAGCTGAACACGAGCCAGCAGTGTGCCAAGGTGGCCAACAGCATCCTGGTGTGTATCAGAACTAGTGTCGCCAGCAGGAGCAGGGAGGGGGTTGTCCCCCTGCACTTGGCACTGATGAGGTTACACCTTGAATCCTGTGTTCAGTTTGGGCCCCTCACTGCAAGAGGCACAATGAGGTGCTGGGGCATGTCCAGAGAAGAGCAACAAAGCTGGTGAAGGGGCTGGAGAACAAGTCTTATGAGGAGCAGTTGAGGGAACTATTCCTTCAATTACAAGGAAAAATAGTGGTAGGTTTGACAAAGTGCGGCAGATTAATACTTGGCTAAAGGGGTGGTGCCAGTGGTCTGGCTTTGGGTTTTTTAACCATGGAGAGATCTACAGGTCACCTGGTCTACTGAAATCAGATGGGGTTCAAATGACACAAAGGGGGAAAAGGATCCTTGGTCATGAGCTGGTGGGACTCATAGAGCGTTCTTTAAGCTAGATATGAAGGGGGAGGGGTTGGTAGCCAGATCTAATGGAATTAGGCAGAGCCTTAAACTAGGTATGAAAGGGTGTGGGGGTAAAAGAGGAATCACCGGAAAGGAGCCAGTATGCAGTATGCTGGTGCTTCCAGGGAAGAAAGTAGTAAGATCAGTCAATCTTGTGAGTTATCCAGTGATCAAAATGTCACATCTGAGTATAACCAGGAAGGTATTAGGGCTTCTCCCTTGCAAAAGGTGACCAGGCTGAGGTGCATCTACACCAATGCACGCAGCATGGGTAACAAACAGGAGAAGTTGGAGGCCATTCTGCAGATGGAAAACTATGATGTAGTTGCTGTAACAGAAACGTGGTGGGATGCCACACATAACTGGAGTGCCACAA